AAAAAAAAAAAAAAAAAGGACAATCATGTCCTTTGGTGTCACAGTGAGTATACAGTAGGACAGACAACCTAGGCTTGAGCTTGGGAGCTGTCGATTGGGGTAAAGTTGATCTGTGCCTAGAGAGGTGGGGCTGCCTGGGACTAGGCACTTTTGTGTTAACCATCAGCCATCTGTGCTGCTTGTTTTACCCAGACAGAATCGTGGTTAGGCTAGTGCTGGTTGGTCTTGGTAGCGTTGGTTTCCCTTGGTGCTTGCCTGCCGCCTCTGCTCAAGCCGCGAGTGAGAACAGCAGCAGACGGGCGCCCCCTAGTGGTATAATCCTTGTGAAGACCTTGAGTATCTCCAGTCCTGGCCGCTTCTCTAGCGGCCGAGCTCTCCTGTTGGCCTACGTCTGGATTCTTCAGCTCTCAGTGGCAATGGGCATTGTGGGTAACAGGCAATCTTAGGTATTGGGATTCCTTAACCCTCCACAGCAGTCTGCGTTACGGCTCTTGGCCCTGGGTCTGAGAGCTTGGGCCTAAAGACCTGGCAGCTTTGTATTCTAGAGATCAGAGCCCAGTGGGTGCCAGCTGGCCTGAACTGTCCATTTCAGTATCACGGACATCTTGTGAAGAGAAGGCCTGTGTGTGCGAACTTCGTATAGCAGGGCGCAGCTATACCATATACACAGGGACCAGGAACCCTGCAAGCTGGGGGTGGGTTCTCAGTCCTACCTAATTGCCCTGCATCTAAACCCTCCATGGAGTAGCCGTGCCTGTGGGCCTGTAGTATAACCTTTGCTAGGAGGACCCTCCCTAGTGGCCACACAGAAGCAAATGCAATTGTTGGAGCAGCCCAACCTGTTTGCAGCTTCCACCCATGTGGTAGGAATTTCAGTACTTTTATTGAAATTCTCCAGTTTGCAACTCTCCTGGTCTATGTTCTTGTGTGTGATAGTCAGGTGAGGCCACAAGAGCAGACACAGGAGGCTCAGGAAAACAAAGTGTATTATGCTAATGGGTCTAGATACAGTAGCTCACATAGATCCTTGACTGAGGACCTTGTGAAGTCACCCATGTTTGTCAAGAGGCACAAGAACCAGGGGATCCTCGGGAGACAGAGGCAGGTGGATCTCTGTGAGTTTGAGGCCAGCCTGGTCTACAAGAGCTAGTTCCAGGACAGGAACCAAAAGCTATGGAGAAACCCTGTCTCGAAAATCCAAAAAAAAAAAAAAAAAAAAAAGAACCAGGGGATCCTCTTTCTGAGGGAAAGGAAGTCAGGCAGAGCAAACAGGTTATGATTTTAGAATTGGCAGAGTGCTGGCACCCCCTAAGTCTATGCTAAGTCTATGGCACCCAGGGCTTGAGGAAGACTCGGTGTAGCCATGTTTTGTTCTGGGTGGATGACAGGGAAGGGTCTGTGCATCTTGTGCCCTGTCCACAGCAGGAACTATTTTGTGGCCTTGGGCGCACTGGCCCGTGCATTCTGTAAGAAGCGCAAGGACAGTGACATGGTGAGAGGGGTGAGAGGTTTAAGACAGCGTGAATGGGGCCCCACAGCAGCAAGGGAGGGTCAGGTCAGAATGGCTGGGGAAGCTCCTCAAGGACAGCTGCGGCATCAGAGGACAGAGGGCTTCAGGGCTCCAGGGACAGGCAGGAAGGCACAGGCGGGAGAAAGTTGGCAGGCCTGTGGGAGGTGAGGCTACGGGAGTGGAAGGCTCAAGAGGAGGCCAGGTCTGCAGCAAACACAGACAACAGGCAAGGAGTGGAGTTTGCCCAACAGGCAGACCAGCACTTTGAAACCAAGCATTCACATACACAGTTGAGGATGACCAGAACAACTGCTTGGGCCGAAGTGACTTGTACTTCATTCACCAAAGTTTGCTGAAAAGGTGACTCACCGGGCAGCTTCCTATCCTGGAGTGACACAGGATGACTGGGCAGCAAAAACAGCCTCAGCAGGAAGAAAGTGGGTGGGGATGGAATTAAGGCCGGAAGGAGTGAGAAAGGAGAGCCCTGATCAAAATCCAGTGGGAGGCCACGAGAGCTCACGGAAGGTGATGCGGGAGGAGGGGCTAGATCAGAGGTGAGCCCGAGGTGAATCCACAGGGCTGGAGTCTGGAAGGGAGACAATACTCGGCAAGTGTCAAGCACCATGGGAGTGAAGCCAGGGAAGGCATGAGTGGGCCGGCACGGAGGAGGCTTCACCGGAGAGGCGGCCTCACAAGTGTCTTGGTGTTGGTATACACTTATATGGTGGGGAAGCAGGAAGAAAGGCACCGAGTGAGCCTGGCAGGCATCCTTTCTAGGCTGGACAGCAAAGGAACTGGCAAGAACAGTAGCCGTGTGAGAATGTGAAGCTCGGGCCTTCCTACCTAGAGGATCAGCTAGAGGTGACTGAGCCACATAGACACTCAGCTCTACTTGCTCTGGTTCCAAGAACCAATGCACATCTTTAGCTCAGGTTATCTTTTCTCTGGGACCAGCCTGAGTGGGAGAGAAAAGGCAGTAGGAAGCTTCTGGAAGTTCCACCGATTGGGCTGAATCTCTATGCTCATTAGGGGACTTCACCTGGGACCTCAAATGTAGAGGTGTTCCCAGATGGCCCCAGTCTGCCATTGGACACTGGGTGACACAGTTATCCACCAGTGGGGTTCCTGGCTCCTGTGGAATTCAGGGTTTCTCTGAGGGAGGCTGTGCTGTGGTGCTTCCGGTCACTAGAGCACAGTGACGTGGATCTTTAGATGGACCATGAGAGCTGAGCTGCGGCTGAAGGCCTTCCCACAGTCACTGCACTTGTAGGGCTTCTCTCCCGTGTGCGTGCGCTGGTGCTCAATGAGGGAGGAGCTCTGCGCGAAGGCCTTTGGGCAGTCCTTACACCGGTAGGGCTTCTCTCCAGAGTGGATTCTCAGGTGCCGGACCAGAGCTGAGCAGTCACTGAAGGCTCTCCCACACACCTCACACCTGTATGGCTTCTCCCCGGTGTGGATGCGCTGGTGCTGTGTCAGGTGGGTGCTCTGGCTGAAGGCCTTGCCGCACAGGTCACACTCATAAGGCCGCTCCCCGGTGTGCACCCGCTGATGCTGGGTGAGGTGGGTGCTGCGGCTGAAGGTTTTGCCGCACTCCTCACACTTATAGGGCTTCTCCCCAGTGTGAACCCTCTGGTGCTGCGTCAGGTGGGTGACTCGCCTGAAGGCCTTCCCGCACTCTTTACACGCATGGGGCTTTGCTCCTGTGTGGACAACCTGGTGTTGGGCAAGGTGGTTGCTCCGACCGAAAGCCTTCCCACACTCGACACAGGCATAGGGCATCTTCTGAGAGGGGCTCTTCTGGTGGGCCTCCGGGGCTTACGTATTCTGGAATGTTCTCACACATTCACCGTACGTGGAGGGCTTCTTTTCTGAGTGTGTACTTGGAGGCACTGTCCCATAGTCATACGATGGGCCAAGTTTCTCCTCCGAAGAAGCCTTGTCTTGGGAAGGGAAGCTGGGCCACGGTTTGGAACTCTTTCCTGAGACGTCAGACTCATAGGCAGGCTGGTCTTTGGGGGCACCCATGTGAGACCCCAGGTCTTTTCTGAAATCCATCTCTTGGGCAGCAGGCTTCATCCAGCGTGCTCCTAGGAGCTCTGGCTGGCTCGCAGAGCTGCTCTCAGGTTTACAAGTGTGGGCAAAGGTGGATTTTGGGGAAACGACTCCTGCGGGTGTTTCAGTGGCCACGTCTGGTGGGTGTGACTCGTCTGTGCTGCTCTGTTTACAACTTGCCTCTTCGTGTGGCTCTCCTGGTTCCCACCCTGGAATCATGCAAATCATACTGTTACTTCCCCGCCACACAGCCTCTCTATTTGCCCGAGGCCCCTCCCACACATCTGTCACGTGGTCCCTTTTCCTTCGGTGTCTTGAGTAAGGGAAAGGATTCAGGACTGTCCTCTTATACTACCCTAAACTGCCATCTGTCTTGCCAAGGCTCCTGATCTGGCTAAAATGCCCATAGGAAAACTTACATGTGGATAAGATCTGAAAAACTAGAGTGGGGGAAGCTGGGCCTTGTCGGGTACCTGTGCATCTGCTCCTGGCAATCTGGGGCAGGGCCAAGTTCTGTGAGTCCAGGCTCTGTCCCTTAAACTCAGAGGCTGTCTTTGGGAAGAGTGGCTGAATGAGAATCAAGCCAGACGCCTGTGACTGTCACTTCTCACGGCAGAACTCTAGGTAGACATCTGATTTGCTCCTAAACTCCCCGATCCGAGTAAACAGGAGGGAGAGGCGACCTGCACTGACCCGCTCTCCACAGGAGCAAAGGGTACCTGAGGATACTTCATCTGGCAATGTCTACGGATGAGTCCCATGGATGAGTCAGAGCAGTATGCAATAGCTGTCCCTCCAGCCTATCCTTGGGCTGAGAAGACTCATAAACAGGGCTCTGACCCCAGACTTTGAGGTGCCAAGTCGTCAGTCCTTAAGTTTAGCTCGCCATCATCCGGCCACACAGTTTGTGAAAGTGCTTGCTTGCCAGGGCCGCTGGCTTATGTCTCCAAGTGCACTGCCTCATCCTTTCCAGAGGAGGTGCTTAGTGGTTCCACTGTAGGTGAGGAGACTGAGGCCCAGGGGAAGTGCTGAGCCCCAGGTACACCATCACAGGATTATTCATGGTCAAGCACACCTTTAGTCCCAGCGGTCAGGAGACAGAGCCAGGAGGATCTCTGATCTCTGAGTTCAAAACCAGCTGGTCTCTAGAGCTTGTTCCAAGATAGTTCTACATGGTAGTTCCAAGCCAAGAGCTACATAGTAAGACCTTGTCTTAATAAATGAATAAGTGAGTAAATCATAAGATTACTAGAGATTCTGAGGGACTTGTACTTGCTCTAACTGAGTTAGCTTGCAGCCAGACTGGGACTTGCTCTGGAAGTTCCTGGACTAGACCATACAGCACTTGGGCCCTTGCATCCTACCAGACATCTCTGGGTAGGGAATACATGTGTGGGTCTCCTTGAATGACAAGTGCCCACTCCAGTTCAGGGCCATCTATCCATCGCCCAGATCCTGTAGGCAAGCACAGGGAAGGCCACAAGAGGATACACAGGGATACTTATTTCTCTCCCCCTCCCTCTCACTCAAGACTTTCAGTCATTTCATCTGGGCCAGGAGCCACACTTCCTTTGGGGAAGAGCCCCAGGCTCACTATGAGTTCCTGGGATTTGATGGTCCAAAGGCAAAGACAGATCTGTTGGTTCAGTGCGGCTCACACTAGACATTGCTTGCTGTTTTCCCCGTCCACTTGATAAGTCAGGAACTGGTGGACTGACTACCTCCGGGGAGATGGTGATAAGCTAGGGATAGAGCTCAGCTGGCAGAGTGCTTACCTATATCCCTAGTACCTGCATCTGAAGCTGGGTGTGGTGGCACATGCCTACAATCCCAGCATTTGGGAAGTGGAGGCAGGAGGATCAGAAGATCAAGGTCATCCCCCAGGTATGTAGCATTTTGAGGTTAGCTTTGGTACAAAAGACCTCTCATCTTAAAAAAAAAAATAAGGGCTGGAGAGCGGTTAAGAGCACTGGCTGCTCCTCCAGAGGACCCAGGTTCAATTCCCAGCACCCACATGGCAGCTCACAACTGTCTGTAACTCCAAGATCTGATACCCTCGCTGGGCCGCTGGTGGTGTACACCTTTAATCCCAGCACTCGGGAGGCAGAGGCAGGAGTCTCTGTGAGTTCAAGTCCAGTCTGTTCTACAGAGCAAGTCCCAGGATAGGTTCCAAAGCTACACAGAGAAACCCAGACCTAAAGGAGATATGGAACGTGAGAGTAGGTGAGAGCAAGCAGGCTGAGTATCAAGGCTCCCTGAGTGTATCTTCTGGATGCTGCTGTGTCTAAGCCCCTTACTCATAACTGCGTGGGATTTATTTGGTCACGTGTACCCTTGGCTAAGGTACAAAGGTGAGAATGAGCACCCCAGCAGCAGTCCCTAACTAGAGCTAGCTTGGCCTACATTCCAGCCAGGCTGTGCCAGCGCTCTCTGTGGCCGACCACCTCCTTACCTCTCTTGTCCAGCAACTGAGTCAGATCCTCCACCAGAATGGCGGCCTCCTTTCCACTCTTTGGGCACTGAGCCCCGACCCAGGCCTGGATCTCAGGGGGCAGTGCACCCAAGAACTGCTCCAGCACCAGCAACTCCAGCATCTGCTCTTTGGAGGACGACTCTGGCCTCAGCCACTGGCAACATAGCTCTCGCAGTTGTGCCAGCGCCTGATGGGGGCTGGATGCCTCCTCGTAACGGAAGTGCCGGAAGCGCAGGCGTGCAGCCTCAGGATGGGCAGTAGGGTTAGGGCTGCATCCCTGGCTCTGGCAGAGGTTAGCTTCTTCCTCCTCTTTCACCTTCACCTGAAGGAAGCTGTCCTGTTCCCAGAGTACTGGGCTCAGAGGGCACTTGGGGATGGCCATTGGGCAGATGCACTCAGTGAGACACGGGATGGCTGGAGTCTCAGAACTGGGTCTGTAGAAATGTTAGAGCTTCACCATCTGAAAAGAGGGAGAGGAGATGCAGGTTTGAGGCAGCCAGACGGGCCTCCAATCACCATTTTCCTGCCTCATCCTCTGTGCATGCACTACCATGCCCACTACCTTGCTTCTTTTTAGATGCATGTATTTGGGTCAGTGAGGTGGATTATCAGGAAAAGGTGCTTGCCACCAAGTCACTTATTCGCACATGGAAAAAGATGAATGTACAATGAGGACCCTAAGAGAGACATACATGGATCGAATCTACATCGGAAGTGGAAAAAAGATAAGCTCTCCTGAGTAAACTGGGAGCATGGAGACCATGGGAGAGGGTAGAAGGGGAGGGGAGAGGAAGGTAAGGGAGCAGAGATAAATTATAGCTCAATAAAATCAATAAAAGCCGGGCGGTGGTGGCGCACGCCTTTAATCCCAGCACTTGGGAGGCAGAGGCAGGCGGATCTCTGTAAGTTCGAGACCAGCCTGGTCTACAAGAGCTAGTTCCAGGACAGGCTCCAAAACCACAGAGAAACCCTGTCTCGAAAAATCAAAAAAAAAAAATCAATAAAAAAATTTAAAAAAATCAACTTGAAATAAAAGCCCCAGGGGAAAAAAAAATAAATGTAATGATCATGGCAGTGTCTGTTCAGAGCTGAGGATGATGCTCAGTGGTCGCATGCGTTCAGAATATACAACAGGGGCTGGAGAGATGGTGCAGCAGTTAAGAGCACTGGTTGCTCTTCCAGAGGACCTGGGTTCAATTCCCAGTAACCACATGGTGGTTCACAGTCATCTGGAATAGAATCTGATGCTGTAGGCATACTGGCACGCAGGCATGCATATAGATAGTGCACTCATACCAAAAAAAAAATAAAACAAAAAAATCAAAACAAAATACACAACAGGGAGGAACTCATTAAGCTCCAGCAGAGAATTTCAAACCCTTAATTACAATGATCTCGGTTAAATTCGGTGGGTCTCAAAACCAAAACAGTTATGAATGTGGAAAGGTCTGTAGGGAGGAGGATAATGGGTGGGAGGAAGACTGGGGGGTATAGTAATGAGAATGCATGTTATATGAAATTGTTATCAAATAACAAATCCAATAAAGTTAAAAAAAGAGGGGAGCAGGCAATGGGATGGCTCCACAGGTAAGGGTGCAGGAACCACATGAGTGGAGGAAGAGAACTGACTGTTGTGTGTTGTCATTTGATTGAGTACCACATGTGAAAATAAAAAAAAACTCAGGGGCTGGAGAGAAGGCTCAGCACCCATTTAGTGGCTCACAACTGTCTGTAATTCCAGTCCCAGGTCATCTGACACCCTCTTCTGGTTTTCACCAGGTATGCATCTAGTACACAGACATACATGTAGGCAAAACACCTATATACATAAAAACAGAACTATAAAAACAAAGAATAAAGTAATTTCAACAGAGCTAAGGAGATGGCTCAGTCTGGTAAAGTGCTTGTTGAGTGAGCATGGCCTGGGTGTGGATCCCCAGCACTATAAGAAGCCTAGCATGGCCGTGCAGGTCTATAACCCCAGCACAGAGGGGAGCAGAGACAGGCAGATCCCCAGGGCTCACTGGCTAGTTGTAGGCTGAGAGATCTGGTCTCAAAACAGCAGCAGCAGCAGCAGCAGCAGCAGCAGCAGCAGCAGCAGCAGCAGCAGCAGAGGTGGAAAGTGACAGAGGCAGAATCCTGACGTCAACCTCTGGCCTTCACATGGAGTACACACACACACACACACACACACACACACACACACACACACACAAATGAACTCATAACAAACTCAAGGGACATAAGCTATATTCCTATTCTAGGTGAAGACATACAGAAAGAAAAGTCTCCCAGCTAGGGAAGGATTTAGCAGGAGAGTGAGCTGCAAATGCAAGCAAATCTATGGCTAGCCACAGAGCCATATCTCCTGTCTCTAATACATTACCCATTTTCCTATCTTTTGAGCTGATAACCACATAGTGAATTATTCACTTTATCTGCTGTTTCCCTGTAGAACTATGTAACGAGACTGGCCTCCAGTCTTCATCCCCAGTGCATGTCCTACCATGCCTGACCACCTTGCTTCTTTTCAGATGCATGTATTTGGGCTATTGAGATGGCTTATCAGGTAAATGCATTTGCTGCCAAACCTGATGACATACATTTGATACCTAGGATATGGTAGAAGGAAAAACCTGACTATTAAAAGTGTTGTGCTGGGGGCTGGGGAGATGGCTCAGTGGTTAAGAGCACTGTCTGTTCTTCCAAAGGTCCTGAGTTCAATTCCCAGCAACCGCATGGTGGCTCACAACCATCTGTAATGGGGTCTGGTGCTCTTCTGGCCTGCAGGCATACATGCAGACAGAATACTGAGAATACTGTATACATAATAAATAAATCTTTTAAAAAAAGTTTAAAAAAAAGTGTTGTGCTGTAAGAGATACTTACATAGATCTAATCTACATGGGAAGTAGAAAGCAGAAAAAGACATAATCTCCTGAGTAAATTGGGAGCATGGGGACCTTGGGGGAGGGCTGAAGCGGGGAGGGGAGAGGCAGGGAGGGGAACAGAGAAAAATGTAGAGCGCAATAAAAATCAATAAAAAATGTCCCCCCAAAGTGTTATGCTGTAGTATGCATGCACATAAAGAAATAAATATAAAAGTTTGAGATCAGCTAGGTGGTGGTGGTCTTTAATCCCAGCACTTGGGAGGCAGAGAGAGGTAGGTAGATCTCTGAGCAAATTCCAGGACAGCCAGGGCTACACAGAGAAACCCTGTCATGAAAAAAAAAAAAGCCAGGCAGTGGTGGCCCATGCCTTTAATCACAGCACTCGGGAGGCAGAGGCAGGCGGATCTCTGTGAGTTCAAAGCCAGCCTGGTCTACAGAGCTAGTTCCAGGACAGGCTCCAAAGCCACAGAGAAACCCTGTCTTGAAAAAGAAACAAAAACAAACAAACAAGTCTAAATCAAGTGCATGTGTTTAAAGCTAAACATTTTCTTCTAAACAGCTCTAATCATATATCACAATTTTGTTAAGTTCTATTTACATTTTTATTTATTTGAGGCAGGATCCCTTATGTAGCCCAGTATAGCCTTGATATGGAAATCTTTATGCTTTAGCGTCCTGGGTGCTGAGATTATAAGCATATACCACCATAGTCTACTTCATAATAATTTAGTTTAAAATACTTTCTAATTTCTGCTGTGGTTCTTTATAAGTCAGGGCTTATTTGGAACTCTGCTGCTTATGACCAGGGGTGTGGTTTACTAAAAACTACTGAATTGTATACTTTGAGATGGTGAGTTTTAGGCTGGGTGTGGTGGCACATACCTCTCATTTCAGGACTATGGTGGCAGTGGCAGGCAGAACTTTGAGTTCTAGGCCATCCAGTAGTACTAGTGAGACTTTGCCTCAAAAATAAATAGATAGACAGACAGACAGACAGATAGATAGATAGATAAAAGTTTAGCCAGGTATGGTGACACATACCTATAATCTCACCTCTCAGAAGGCCAGGGCATGAAGATTTAGAGTTCAAGGCTATCCTGGGATACAGAGCAAGACTCTTTCAGCCCTAAATAAATAACTAAATGGTGGGTTTTGATTATGAGAATCTCAATAATGCTGGCTTTTTAAATGTATTTCTTTTTCAGTCCTGGGCAAATGCCTTCTCCTTATTAGGCATTCTCTCCCTTCTGTATGGCAGGTCTCTATACAAAAGACAACTCTGCAGAAGTTCTGCCCCCTACCCTGCTTTATTTCTTTTTTTTTTTTAAATTTATTTATTATACATACAATATTCTGTCTGCGTGTACGTCTGTAGGCCACAAGAGGGCACCAGACCTCATTACATATGGTTGTGAGCCACCATGTGGTTGCTGGGGATTGAACTCAGGACCTTTGGAAGAGCAGGCAATGCTCTTAACCTCTGAGCCATCTCTCCAGCCTCCTGCTTTATTTCTTATTACTCTTCACCACTTGGTGGATAGCACAGTTGTCTTTGTTCTTATCCACCTGCCATCACTGCATTGTCAACACCTTAAGAGTTGGGGACTTTTCAGTCCAGGCATGGTGGCACATGCCTGTAATTCCAGCACTTGGGAGGATGGAGCAGGAGGATTGCAACTCTGAAGGCTGTCTGAGCTACCTATCAAGACATGGCTTGTCCCACAAAAGGGAGAGGGTGGCAAAGAGATGGCTCAGCAGGTAAAGGTACTCACCATGGAAGCCTGCTGTCCTGAGTTCAATCCCCAGAACCTGCAAAAAGCTGGATGCAGGAGAACACATCTGTAATCCCAGCACTCTATGGGAGGATGGGAGGCACAGAGCAGAGAATCACCAGGATGTTTGTGGGCCGGCTAGTCTGGAGTATGCAGTGAGCAGAAACAAGGAGACCGACAGAGAGGGCCAGCCAGCTTTCAGAAGTTGTCCTCCGACTTCCAGGCCCATCCCACAGCATGCACATGCCCACATCAACACATGCACATATATCCTACAAAATAATTAAAAACAAATAAGGTAGGCATGGTGGCGCCGTCTTTAATCCCAGCACTTAGGAGGGAGAGGCAAACAGACGTCTGAGATTGAAGCCAGCCCGGTCTACACAGTGAGTTTTAGGCCAGCTTCGAAAAGAACGTGTGCGACACACCAGGCTGTTAATACACATTTTATGATGGAATAAAGGCAGTTCAAGTATTGCCGTGGCTGTGTACACCCAGTGCTTGGGAGGCAGGAGGAACATTTTAGTCAGCATTTCTGACACAGAGGGTTTCACTCACACTTGAACTCAGTCACAAACCCACTGGCTCCGTCTCACAACCCACCTACAAAGTCCATCAAAGAACTATTTCTTTCAGTCGCTTCATCAGTTAGTCACTTGACGTGATATACAAGGCCAAGATGCTTTAGACACAGCACAACCTGTCGGGCACATACGACCGGTCGGTCAGTCCCCACTTTTTGTTTGTCGGTCTTACACTCGTCAGCCGTGCCACACTCTGCCGGTTCTTACTCACAGGCCGTCAGCTTCGGCGTGGGCGTTCGCAGCTCTCAGCCCTCAGTGCCACGGCTCCAGCTCTCACCGGGTCTCCAGAAGTCCCAGCAGACAATTCCGGAGATACCCTGATGACGAACACACAGGCGCCTTCAAGCCCAGGGACCACAACTCCCAAGATGCCTAGCTCAGACGCACGGCCACAGGGTACGTCACCTGGACTACAAGTCCCAGAAAGCACAGCGCCAAGCCCCTGGACCCTTTGGGAGCTGTAGGAGTGCGTGCTTGATTCGCGGAGGGCTCAGGGAGGGAACCGACCCTAGGTTGGTGTTGAGACAGAGTTGTCCGTTAGTAGTGGTTGTGGTTTGCTCGGGAAGTTGGAGCATGCACGGTGCGGGTGAATCCTCAGATGGCTTACCATCATCTCACTGTAGTTCCCAGGAGTTTTGGTGCCCTCTTTTGGCTTTCACAGGCACCAGGCACACAAGTGCTGTACAGATATACGAGCAGGCAAAATATCCATATACATAATTTTTAAAAATCACATTTAGCCGGGCGCTGGTGGCGCACGCCTTTAATCCCAGCACTCGGGAGGCAGAGGCAGGCGGATCTCTGTGAGTTCGAGACCAGCCTGATCTACAGAGCTAGTTCCAGGACAGGCTCCAAAGCCACAGAGAAACCCTGTCTCAAAAAAAAAAAAAGGGGGGGGGGCTGGAGAGATGGCTCAGAGGTTAAGAGCATTGCCTGCTCTTCCAAAGGTCCTGAGTTCAATTCCCAGCAACCACATGGTGGCTCACAACCATCTGTAGAGGGGTCTGGTGCCCTCTTCTGGCCTGCAGGCACACACACAAACAGAATATTGTATACATAATAAATAAATATTTTTAAAAAAATCACATTTATTTGGTGTGTGTGTGTCGTGTATGTGGCATGATGCAAGTGAAGAGGTTAGGAGACAGCTTGTGGAACTCAGTTCTCTCTTACCATGTGGGTTCTGGGGAATCAAACTCAGTCTTGTCAACAAGTACTTCTTTGTACTTCTTTTACCCACTTAGCCATCTTGGCTGTCAGAGTTTTTTTTTTTTTTTCCCCCACGGGAGAATCCAGAGATTTACTCACATTAAGCACAACCCCAAGGCCCCAAGCTATAACCTTCCCTAGTCTTTATCATTTATTTGAATTTAACCAATCTTAGCCAACTAATACTTAACACGTAAGACAGACAGTTCAGGGCTAGGATGTTTCAGAACCACGGACAGCTCCCAACTCTAGGCAAGGTGCTTGTCTCAGAGGTGATTACTGCTGGCATTTGTGAAACTGCTCATGACTTTGCCTCTCTCTCTCTCTGTCTCTCTGTCTCTCTCTGTCTCTGTCTCTGTCTCTGTCTCTGTCTCTGTCTCTCTCTCTCTCTCTCTCTCTCTCTCTCTCTCTCTCTCTCTCTCTCGTTGTTTTGTTTTTCGAGGCAGGGTTTCTCTGTAGCTTTGGAGCCTGGCCTGGAACTAGCTCTTGTAGACCAGGCTGGCCTGGAACTCACAAAGATCCGCCTGCCTCTGTCTCCTGAGTGCTGGGATTAAATGCCTGTGCCACCACTGCCAGGCGACTTTGCCTCTTTGAGCTCCATACAAAGTAAACAGTGCGCAGTGTAACAATCTGTGTAACGGCCTCAGCTCCATGCTACCAAATTTCATAAATGGCAATCACAGGTTATCTGTATGGGGACTGTGCAGACAACAGCAAGATACAAACTGTCGAGTTAAGGAGAAAATCGCTAGTACAGCAGATCCTCACTACTCTACTTAGGGTCTTTTTCCTATCTGGAAAAGGGAATAACAACATGGAAGACTTCTTGATCAGGCATTTAATATTGTGGACTGGGCACCACGCCATGAAACTCAGTCTAAGATGGACGATAACAAGTATTTTCTCATAATGTATGCAATGTACTGAGGTGGGTGTACTGAGGGGACCTGAGTACTGCAGGGTGCTTTCCTCTGGACCCTGAATTGGGTGCAGACAACACCTAAAAACCATGTTCCATCACAAGCCACATGCAAAGAGATCCATTATTAAGCAAGACAGAGACAAAGTGGCTGAATCTGAATCTGCACATAACATCTTTGCACATGTTAATTTTAAGAGAAAAAAGAGGGAGGTCTATGCTACAATGAGTTAGCTCTGATTGAGTATTTTAATTAGGTTAGTCAAAATGATGAATTTTGATTGGTGAACCCTGATGTTTTGTTGGACCTTGATGATCAGTCTCAGGAATGAGTCAGGCATAACAAAGTGGTCAAATAAGGAAATAGGAATGTAATCTACTGGCTTAACAAAGGAGAGAGGGGCGGTATGTTTGCCATGCTCTGGCCTGTGTTTGCCACGCTTGGGTGTGCTAGAACACTTCATGTACTACCTGTGTTTTTGGATGGGAGAGGAGGGACTCTGAGGTTGAAAAATGAGTTTAAAGCTCAAAGAATGGATAGTAGAGGTCATAAGCAAGAAAGTGGGTGAGCCTAGACTCTATGGGAAGGAAGACAGATTTGTTCTAAATCGGGGGCCTATGAGTTCTGGCCTAGCTAAGAATCCCCACTATTGCTTTTTATTTTATTTTATTTTTTTGAGATAAGGTCTATATAGCCCTGGCTAACCATTCAAGATCTACCTGGAGTACTTGGCTGCTGGATCTAACATCCTGGGCTTCTTGTGTTTGGTTGGCTAATAAGGGAAAGGAAAAAGGAACTAGGAAGTCTGTCTGTCTGCATTCTAGCCTTTTCACCTTTAGTATTACAGAGTTAAAGTTGTTCCACATGCAACTCCTTTTGTTAAATGAACACACATTTAGGCGTACACAGAACACCTATGACAAAGACACACTGTGGTTCCTACTCATAGGGAAATTCTGGCAGATTGAGGGAGACCACAGTGATATTTTATGTTTTATAAATTAAACTTGCCCGAAGACCAGAAGGTAAAACTAAGCTACTAGAGTCTAGGCAGTGGCATCACACACATTGAGTTCCAGGATTTTGAAAAGAGGCAGATGGATCTCTGTGAGTTTGAGGTCACCCTGGGCTACAGAAGATCAGTGCAGAAATGGATCCTGGGGGTGGTGGCTCATACCTTTAATCCCAGTACTAGGGAGTCACATGCCTTTAATCCCAGCACTAGAGAGAAATATAAGGTTACGTCTTACTGGTTTCCCTTAAGATGTAGACTTTTTCCTCATTAATAATGGCAGTCTCCACTAAGGCTCTGATTTTTATTGTGCCACAAACCATAGTGGATTTTTTTTTTTTGAAATTCTTATTTTTGAGAAACCTTGTACAAATGATCTGCATAGGAATAAATAAATCCTCTGGATTTCTCCCCAGTAGGTTTACTGAGAATACATTCATATTATTTATTTATTTGTCTATTTTTTATATTTATTTATTATGTATACAATATTCTTTGTGTGTATGCCTGAAGGCCAGAAGAGGGCACCAGACCTCATTACAGATGGTTGTAGGCCACCATGTGGTTGCTGGGAATTGAACTCAGGACCTTTGGAAGAGCAGGCAATGCTCTTAACCTCTGAGCCATCTCTCCAGCCCCCTCATATGATTTAATAACTGATGAACTGCCCTCCACCCATTCATACCCTCACAGGAAATGTATAGGAAACACTCAGAGCTCTTTGAGAAAAGTTTGGCAAAATAATTGGATGGAGGGCACGATGTTATAATCTTCCAGCAATAAAGCTACAATAAATTTATTAGGGAAAATGCTCAAAATATAGGAAAAAGCATGCTACAAGAGAATGAGAATGGTTTTCTCACTCTAAACCTTTAAATGAGAGATAACTGCACACACATACATCTATGTTGTAGATTCAAAATACACTGTGTTTATGTGTGTGCATAAGTATTTAAGACAAAATTATACTGGTGGTGGTGATGCACACCTTTAATCTCAGCACTCATGAGGCAGAGGCAAGCAGGATCTCTAAGACTGAGGCCAGCCTGGTCTTCAGAGCAAGTTCCAGGACAGCCAGGGTTACACAGGAAACCCTGTTTCAATAAACAAAAACAAAATAAAAATTTCAATGAAAAGTAGCAAAGATCATCTTTGGATATTTGAAGCATGAAAATTTTAAATGCTTTAAAAAGTTTCACAATTTTTTTTTGTGCATTTTCCAACTTTGGCTATAATGAATTTGTGTCAGTTTTATAAAGAGATAGAAACCACTATCTCTAATTTATAGTAATTTCCCTGAGATTCTCTTTCAAAATATGTACAAAGAAATCAGTGGGGCTATCATTCCTGGATGTGAATTGAAAAATGAAAATTGTTGGTTGTTCTGATTCACTAAGCCATAACTCAGCCATACAACATCCACCGTGAGAAACAGGACCGGTTTTGGAGTCTTGGTGATGAGTATGACACCTGGCTTCCAGAGTATTGGTATTATGGTATGAGTGCTGGTGTCTCCCCCATTTTCATTTGCTTTACCTAGACTAAACATTTGATGGAGCAGTTAAGGAGTTACAGGTAAAGGAGGCAGGTTTCTATGTCTCAGAGTCTGGTTTACTTCCTGGGTAGGTCATTTTGTGCAATGCCATCCCTGTCATCTGTTTGCGCTGTCAGTGGTAGCTGGGATGAAGATGTTTCTATGATAAAGGACTGATGAAGAGGAAGGGTCAAAGGCATGTTTTCTGGCTTCAGTGATGGGATGGGAGAAAGTGATATCCATGAAATGGGTTGGGAAGCAGACTGTTGGATAGAAAAGGGCCGTTTTCTTCAGGGTAAGCTGGGTATATGAGTTCATGGTTTACCTGATGGAGCCAACAGTCATGTCTACATCTGAATCTCAGAAGTCAGGAGCAGAGACTCAGAAATAGGGCGGACAATGCAAAGCCAGGAGTGTGGATGCTACCTGGGGAAGGTGTAGGCATGGCCCCATAGACCATATCACCAGGGACGACCCCAACCCTTGGAGTGGGAAAGAGAAGACCAGAAGCTCTTGAATGGGGTTATGCATTTCAGAACCGAGGGGGCAGCCTGCTGCCACGATGCCAGCAGCCTCAGGTGAGAGGTCGTGGAGATGGATGGCAGCACCCAGTGGTGGACACAACAGATTTTGTGAAGCAGCGGGTGAGAGGCCTGAGGTGCACAGGTAATTCTTTCGAGGGACTGGAAGAGAGGTGGGCAGTTTATCAAGTACTTCCTAACAGCTCTCTTATCTGTATCCATCAGAGGTTAGGGATGCTGAACACTACCCTTCCTAACCTCCTCACTATGATGGATGGCCCAGGGACTCATTCTTGGCCAACAAATAAGTCGGTATATGACAAAGGCTTCTGGGAAGGCCTTTCTTTGAAACATCATGGCCAATATTCATCTCTCCCATGACGTTTCAAAGAAAGGCCTTCCCGGAAGTGGGTGTTGCTTTGTACAAAGTCTGGCAGAGAGGACGCTTTCCCAAAGTTTGGGTTGGGGAGAGGAGCTTTGAGAACAAAGGGAGTCATGTGACCACATGCTCCAACCTACACTTTAGCAAACTCAGTGGTTTGAGACCAAACCAGAAGTCAGTCCACCATATCAAAAGCGAGGAGGATGGATTGGATCAGAACATTTAAGTTACTCAAGTAACAAACAAAAGACTAAGAAACAGCACAATTAGAAGATTTAAGAAAAAAGCCAAACACACTGCATAGATTATGGTTAGAATAAAACAAATACAAACTTTATGAAGCAACCAGGTACATCTTAATACTGGATATTTGCTGGTATCTGCTAGATATAAGTAATATGTTTTTTCTTGAGAAGTAAAAGAATAACTTTTCCTAATATTATTTTTGCCCTAGTTAAGAGGAGTATAGTCAATAACCTCAGAACACTGCTTTCATTCAAATTCTGGCCCAGAAGCACTACCTAAACAACACGGCAAAAACCCAAAGGAGATGGCTTAGTGTGATTATGTGAATGGCTTTGTCCTTTTGGAAATATATGCAGAGAGATGAACAAAAAGTTCTCTGGGATGGATGTGAAAACAATACAGGGAGGGATGGGGTGAGGAGATGGGTGGGAGAGCCAATGAAAACATCATTCATCTTTTAGAATATCCATTGTAAGTGTTAAAAGATTACACAGAAAGATAAGGGGATTCTTCACCCTAAATATAAACATGGCAAAATGGTGAAAGATTTACTAAGCACTACTTTGTATATATAAATTCATGGCTCTATTTGTTTAAGGATTTATCATTTATTATTTATACAGTGTTCTGTCTGCATGTGTGCATGCAGACCAGAAGAGGGCACCAGATCTCATTATAGATGGTTATGAGCCACTATGTAGCAGCTGGGAATTGAACTCAGGACCTCTGGAAGAACACCTTAGCCATCTCTCCAGCCCCTCATGGCTCTATTTGTTAAGAACAAACACATGATTGTTAATACAACTTTGTTCAATTTACAGTTTAGAAAAGGTGGGCTATTGTTTGTGTCTCTGGTACTGGGGATAAACTCAGGGCCTTCTACATGTTAGGAACGTGTTCTGTTACTGAGCTACCCCAACCCTCTGGGTCAAGTTTATATCAAGGCTTCTCCACCTTAGTACTATTAATATTTGGGGTTAGAAAATTCTTTGAGGAGCTGCCCTGGGCACATAAATATGTTGAACAATATCCTTGGCCTCCACCTGAAAGCCAGTAGCATCCTTCAAGTTGCAGTGACAAAAATGACTCCAGACATTACTAAATGTCCTGTGAGAACAAATTGCAGATGCGTACCTCTGACTAACAGCAATATCTCAAGGTACTGGTTTACAGAGGAGCTGTGACTCCTTTAGAGAGTGCTGTAGAATGCTGTGGACACTTCTGTCAGACGACTTACTGAAGTGAGGACACATGCTGTGAAGTACAGAACTGAGTCATGTGTGACGTGTGAGAAAAGTGAACTGAGATTCTGAGTTGAATTCACATGGAAACACATATTACTTTGTGTATATTTCGACTTAGGCAGAATTTCCCACATATACAATAGTATTTTGGTTTGTCCAAAACTTTCATAGGCGTTCATCACTACTCTGCAAAATCACTTTGGGCATAGCAACGTCCCTTATGGTATTTTTTGTAGACAACAGTGTGCCTCGCAGCAGTCTGAAAGTTACAGGTCATCGACCTGGTGAAAACGGGCCCACATAAGGACATGGCAAGATACCACACTGACTCAGTACGTATCATTGTATTATAAATTAAATTAGCTATGTTTTACAAAAAGGGGTCATATGTTATTTCCACACTATGCCTGTGCAGAGGTTTTATTACTGGTAAACTCGTTTTAGGGTAATGGAGAAAACATCTTAAGATGTCTACTGTTGCCGGATATAATGGCACATGACCATGATCCTAGAATTAGGGAGGTGAAGGCAGAAGGATCAGAAATTCAAGGTCATTCTTGGTGAATGACTTGGTGAGTTCAAGGTCAGCCTGGGCCATATGAGACCTTGTCTCAGAAAAACAAAGAAAAAGTCTGTTGTTAAACAGGAGCCCAGTTTGATGCATTTCAGAATCACGAACCTCAAGTGTCTGGGAAGCACCACTTCCTTATGAGGTCATAGGTCACCATTGACATTATGCCATCTTCTCTTGCCACTGTGTGGACTCATGTTGTACCTAGTAACTCAACAGTTATCTGAAGAGTTTCCTTCCTATGTAGATTCTCTGATGTCAAATAGCATAGAATTGCCCAGTGAAGGTTCTTCCACCCCAATAACACGCACAGGGTTTTTCTCCTGCATAATTTCATGAAGGTCAAACAAGGCCAGTGCCCTGCTTGCTTGTTCTGCCTTTGTCTGGGCCACAGGGATCTCTCTTGAATTTGAGTGTGGATTTCGAATAAGCTTTGAGCCCCGCCCACAGGGCTGCTCTCGTTTTCGGCTATGTCCACGTGGTTCTTCCTCTCTGTTGTGGGTTATCTGATGTCGGATGAGGTGAGAACTCTGAATGAAACATTTCCCACACTGACTACATTTAAAGGGCCTGTCGCTCCGTTGAGTTCTTTCTTCTTGACTCAAAGGAGGGTCACAGCTGAGGGTTTCTGTCCACTCGTGCTTTGTTAAAACCGGTGTCTGCTCAAAGATCAGCCTCTGTCGGCACTCATAGGGTTTCTCACCAGCATGCTTCCGCTGATGCTGGGCCAGGGAGGAGCTGTGCCTGAAGCCCTTTCCGCAGTGATTACACTCATATGGCCTCTCCTCGGTGTGAGTTCGCAGGTGCAGGAAGAGACAAGTGGTCCGAGAGAAGGATTTCCCACACACACTGCAGGTGTACGGCTTCTCTCCAGTGTGTGTTCTTTTGTGCCGCCCCAGTGATGAATTCTGATTGAAGGCCCTGCCACAGTCCTGACACTCATAAGGTTTCTCTCCAGTGTGAATTCTCCTATGGACTGTAAGATGTGTACTGTGACAAAAAGATTTCCCACACTCTTCACACTTATATGGCTTATCTCCAGTGTGGATGCGCTCATGTTGAACAAGGGAGGAGTTCTGGCTGAAGGCTTTCCCACATTCTTTGCACATATAAGGTCTCTCTCCTGTATGAATCCTCTTGTGCACTGTGAGGTGTGCATTATGGTTAAATGACTTTCCACAATCAGTGCATTTATAGGGTTTATCTTGAACCTGACTTTTTGTGAGTTCTGTAGTGGGCACAGTCTGATCAAAGGTTTTCTGGCAGCCACTGTCATCAAAGGGCTGTGTTGCTGGGGAGTCTGTATGCTGACTAACTAAACTTGGGTTATGTTTTGAGTTTTTAACTTGTGAGCCATCAGTACAGCCAAGTTCTTTTCTAGAATTATCTGATGATAGATCTGTGTTTAAGCTAAGAACACAGGTTTCCTCAAGTCCAAGACTTTCACAGCTTTGACTTTGAATTGATATTTCCTTGGGGCCTTCCAATTGCCCTAAGTTACTCTGGTCCTTCTTGGTCCACTGGAAATCACTTTTCCGATCTCTCTCTGTCACGGGATAACAAGAAATAGCCACTTTGAACCCATCTCTTTCTTTAATGGGGGATAGTTCCCTCTCATGAAGGCCCTGCTCCTTGAGTGATGTGTGGGCTTCAGGTCCAAGTATCCAGCCTGAAAAAACAAAGAGCTCTGAGTAGTTAAGGGAAAACAGAAGAGGGGCAGGTTCCTAATACCCTGGAACTTTGTCATTAGTTTAGGATCTTAACAACCTGCTCTGATAAGTCCTGAGTCTCCTCTTGACACTATCCCTGCCCTCAACCATAGTTTCACTCTGGGGGCAGGCACTGGAAAGGAATTAAAAATGTACCAGTTTCTTGCAGAATTTTGTTACAACCCATCACAAACCTAGTGCCCAAAAGCAACACTGCTTACCGTCTTACAATATGAAGTGCTAAAATCTATATCAGCAGAGCTGTTTTTTCCTAGAAGCTCCATAGAAGGACATAGTAGTAGTATAGCATCTTCAAATCTCTCAATAACCTCTGCTTCTGTTGCCACATATCTTTTCTTGCTGTGACCTTTTTGTTTTTTATAATTACTCTGTTGAGGGGCTGGAGAGATGGCTCAGTGGTTAAGAGCACTGACTGCTCTTCCAGAGGTCCTGAGTTCAATTCCCAGCAACCACATGGTGGCTTACAGCCATCTATGAGACCTGGCGCCCCCTTCTGGCTTGCGGGCACACATGGAAGGAATGCTGTACACATAATATATAAATATTTAAAAAAAATAAATAATTACTCTTTTGATTACATTGGGCCCACCTGATAGACAAGTGATTTTAGGGATTAGGAATTAGACTTAATTGAAGACCATACTTCATTTGGTTGCTCACCTTTAACATTAAATATGTGTGTGTGTGTGTGTGTATACATACACAAACATACATGTGCCTGAGTGTATGTGTGTGTAAGATGTCCATGCAGGGGCTCACCGAAGTCAGAGAGGGCAATGGATCGCTGGAACCTGAGTTATAGGTTGTTGTGAGCTAACTTGGGTGTTGGGAACAGAGTCCAGGTCCTCTGCAAGAGCAGTATAAAGGTTCTCAGTTGCCGAGACATCTTTCTAGCCCATCCTTAACATTCTCGAGGCCTCTCATTTGCTTAAGACACACATGAACATGTTCATTCGTTCAATGTCCATCTTATCACACTAGTGTCCAGTAAGGCCTGGGACCCATGGATGCTAAATGTTCAAAACATCTGTCTCAGTGATATTGGAGGGATTCACGGGAAAACCAAGAGTCTGGTCATGGGAGAAGAGCTGGAGAAACTGAGGCTTGGTGGGTACCAATCCCTTTACCGCCTTTGCACAGACACAGGGGTTTTAGTAAAATGCAAGTGATTTCACACAAAATTTTATATTTGAAGGCAATATGCTGAATGTTATATAGTTTATGGAAATGTTCTCATTTAAAACAGCACATGTACACTAGGTATACAAAGAAAATCAGAAACAGAAAAACAAACAGCAGCAACATAACAATTTACATACATTTATGTCCACAGCAGCACCATTTTTTTTTTCCGAGGCAGGGTTTCTCTGTAGTTTTGAAGCCTGCCTTAGAACTAGCTCTTGTAGACCAGGTTAGCCTCAAACTCACAGAGATTCGCCTGCCCCTGCCTCCTGAGTGCTGGGATTAAAGGTGTGTGCACCACCACCTGGCTCAGCAGCACTGCTCTTAATAGCCCCCAAATGGAAACAACTCCATGAATTGATGAATAAAAAATTGAAACATGAGTGTAGGTAATATAGCTCAGTGGTAGAGTACTTGCCTAGCATGGTGAGGCTCTAGGTTCAATTCCCAGAACTACAACAAACAAACTAACAAATAATGGTCCACCTATTAAATGGACTATTTAGTCATAAAGGAATGACGTGAATATTCACAACAACATGTGGGAACTTTGAAAACATTACACTGAGGAAAGGAAGCCAGACACAAGTGTCACAGACCAAGAGTCCACTGACTAAGAAAGGCCTTAACAAGCAAGTCCATAGACACCCCAAATGAACGGTTGTCAGGATCAGGGAAGATGGTGGCGGTTGCTAGTAGGGACAGCTAAGGCCTGAATGTTTGTGCTCTCCTAAGAAGTGTGTGTGTGTTTATGTCCTAATCCCTGCGTTGATGGTATTTAGAAGTGGGGCTTTCGGGGGAGTATTAGGTCTTGAAGGCAGAGCCCTCATGATAGATTAATGTCCTCTTAAAATGGGACACTGGAGTCCCCCACTTCTGAAGAAAAGGCAGCTTTTTATAGATGAGAAAGGGGCCTCCATCAAGAACTAGATCAACTGTCAGCCTCCAGAACTGTAAGAAATAAATGCCTGTTGTTTAGACCACCTGGACAATGATGACATGTTCTGGAAGTGGATACTGGTGGTGCATAACCTGTGAACACACGCTGACTCCACTGGGTTATACTGGTGGTCCACCATCTGTGAACACACTCTGACCCCACAGGCTTACACAGGAAGTTTTTTGCTTTTGTTTCTGTTTGTTTTGCTGAACCGGGTGTCACATCCAGGGCTTCATACATATAACCTCCCCTGCCCCCAAGCATGGTTTCTATGTGATAACAGCCCTGGCTGTCCTGGAACTACCTCTGTAGACCAGGCTGGCCTCAAACTCAGAGATCCACCTGCCTCCGCCTCCAGAGTGCTGGGATTAAAGGCATGTGCCACCACCGCCTGGCTCCAACTGAACTTTTATCTAGTTTTAAATGGGAAAGTTTTATGGTATATGAGTCTTAATAAAGTTGTTACCAAAACCCTTTCCTCCACCTTGGCTACCTTTCTGCGCACCATGCCAATCACTTCTGATCATAGACTGTGATCTCCTCCCCTGCCTCCCATTCTCATTGACGTCACCTCCTTCCCTCAATCTGTTCACTACTGGTTTCCTTACCATTCCTTTCAACATATCCCATGTTCCTTTGCTTATGCTGCCTTCTCTGCCTTTCATGCATCTCCAGACAGCTGCCGGCTTCAGTGTTATCTTCTAAAAGAGGCATTCTTGTGTGTCCTGGGGGCACTGTCTACCCTATGCTTCTCAGGCACATTTTTGTTTGTTTCAACCATCACCTCCTGATATTGTTATTCATTCCTCAGACCCCTAGATGACTGAGGCCATTTTATTTTTTTGATGCTACACTCTTAGCATCAAAGGCATTATGTGAGTGCGTCCTCAGGAATCTTTGCTGAACGGGCTTCTGAGCTGATACTATTGATACAGCCTCAGACAAACTCTGGTCCAGACCAATGTTGCCAGTGGGAAGGAGGCTGAAGAAGACCCAGTGTAAGAGACCTTAGGCCACTGCCAGGGCTGAGCTGCTGTAACCAGTAACCAGGTCAGGTCAGCAACAGCTGAAAGCATCAATGCTGAATTCACCTGGAGTCCCCACAGCTCCAGCCACCCCACACCTCAAACAAGCGATCCTGCTGTTTAGGAAGTCACAGTGTCTCCAGTGAGAAATGGTGGGAAGAGGAAGGGTTGAGGTGATAATTCACCAGGTGAGGTCAAGTAACTATAGGAGGGAAACAGTAAGAAACAAAGCAAGTTGCAACAGGAAGGGGGTGGGATCACCTCCACGGTTACCTAGCCCACCAAATCACATGGATGCACTGGGAAGGGGTCATGGATGAGCCTTCTTTTCCTTTAAAACAAAAGGGAAATTGCTCTCTTGTTGAAGACAGTGTGTGGTAAGCTGAATGTGGCCCCTCGAGGACAGCCACACCCCAGTCCTTGGACCCTGTAAATGTGTGATACTACATGGCAAAGAGAATATTGTAATAAAATTAAGATATTTGTTTCTGTGTTTGTATATGAATGTATGGCACATTTGTGCAGGGGTCTGAGGTCAGAAGAAGGCATCAGATCCCCTGGAGGTAGAGTTACAGGTTGCTATACTATTGAATTCTAACATCACATCTATACCCTCATACAGGTATATACAGGTTACATGGACGCAAATTCAGTTTTTTTTTTTTTTTTTGTTTGTTTTTGTTTTTGCTTTTTTCTTTTCTTAACTGGTGATCCATCTCTTCAGGTCCAAATTAAGAATCTTAAAAGTGTGCGATTATCTTTATATTCTAAATGTCACTAAAAGGCTCCACATAGGAAAGGCAGGTGAGCCAGAGAAGACCATGTGACGATGGAGACAGAGCTGAGTATGTGCTCTGAAGAAGGCCTCATGAGTCACGGCATCTGGGCAGCTCCAGACACTAGGAGAGACAAGAACTAGAACTCCTCCGCAACTGCCAGGAGTCAGGCTTGATGAGCCCCTTGGACTCCTACTTCTACAGGTTTGAGAGAAGACATGAATGAATTTGTGGACTCTCTTTTGGAGGGGGACGACAGGGCTTTACAAATGCAGCTGGGGCTTCCTGCAGAGTTCTTGGGATTACAGGAATTACCTATCATAACCAGCCAAATCTTTTTTCCCATCCACTTTGCCACAGTACTTTGCTACAGTAGCTGTAGAACACCTATACGAAGTATCAATGCAAAGTAGTTTCTGCTTTAACAGGAAGCCTTTGGTTTCTAGAACATTTATGATGGTTCAGATAGTAAGTTCTTCAAACTCTCTGTAACAATTCTGATGTCACACCTGCCGTGTGAGCCAAACAGGCAAGGCTCAGTTATTTCAGAACCTAGCTTCCGTGGCTGCCTAAGCCCGTCAGTGAAAAGCATGTGTACAGATGAGCAGGTTTGCTCCTGACAAATAAGCAGGAAGCAGCATTGGCAGCAACCAATAAAAGAGGGATAAGTGGGTCTTGCCGCATACTCAACCAACTGAGAGTGAGGGTCACAGCCCATCACAGAGGTAAAGTGTTTCTCTGCAGCCTGGGAAGGCACCAGAAGCATTTGAGTGGGTGTATCTGCTGGCTGCAGCCAAACCATACTCATTTCAGCTGTCAGCATACCAGTGTACCGGTCCCATCTACTTATAAAACTTAGACCTTCCCTACCCATTCTCCCCACTAAACAGGGCAGGACAAGCGCAAGGAATCCAGTCCTGACTGAGAGTTTTAGACAAGAGGATAGAAACCTGGTGCTGCTGTCCCCACCACTTCCCTTCTGCTGGAGCCACACTGTAACCCTGAGCAACACAGAACCATCAGTCCCAGCAAATCTCTAAGATGCCAAGGCAGCATGAGCACCAGCTATGTCAGAGGTCCGGCTTTTTAAAAATCACACTTTCCTTTTCTTCTGAGCTTCTCTTAACATGGCTTTAAGGATTTTTGTTCTATTTTTGAGGCAGGATCTCTGCCTATGTATGTATGTGTATGTATCCATCCATCCATCCATCCATCCATCCATCCATCCATCCCTAGCTTGCCTGGATCTCATTACATATCAGGATAGCCTTGAACTCACAGAGATCCACTTGTTTCTGCCTCCCGAGTGCTGGGGTGAAAGGCATCACCATGCCAGGCCAAGTTTTTAATACCTCCATAGAATCTTTTCTGATAAGAGACTAGTAGAAGGGTGTGAGGAACAGGTTTATAGAATATAACACGGAAGAACTGAATGGAACACTGGGACGAAAGCAAGGAGGAGGATGCTGGGAAGGCTGATGAGAAAGAGGTGGCCTAGAAAGGAAGATGGAGCAGAAACACAAGCGAGGCAGGGCCTCACTGCTGGAGAGGAAGAATGGCTTTGGTGAGCGCAGGAAGGTGAGGCCATGGGGCACCCTCCAGAAATGCATGACAACTGGCCAAGCTGACAGACTTAGAGACGTCTCCTCACAGGCTGGCCTTGGGAGTATTAGGGAACTTAGATTTGGGGAGGGTTCCCACCACCCTAATCGGTAAGAAAAGTTCACTGCTCTACTGTTGGGGCTTATTTCAAGCACCAGAATCATGGTATGCACGAGGCAGAGGGTGCCCGCAGGAGAAAGCCTGTCTTCCTCTTTGGAGACAATGGTCCTCACCATAGCTCACTGCTGGGGGAGCTGAGCACATTCTGTCTGACTCCACAGACCGAAGAGCTGGAAGCTCATGCCTGGGTCCTTCCAGTGGCTCTCAACCTGGGGGTCACAACCCCTTGGCAGGGGGTATTGAATGATCCTTTCCCAGGGGCCGCCCATGACCATTGGAAGTATCAGATATTTACATTATGATTGATAACAGTAGCCAATTACAGTTATGAAGTAGGAATGAAAATAACTTTATGGTTGGGCATCACAACATGAGGCGTTAAAGGGTCACAACATTAGGGAGATTGAGAACCACTGCTCTAGACTTTGCCTCCTGAAGCCTTTTCCCTTCGCGGGTTTTGCTCTGTATCTTTGGCTATTATCAGTAAACGCTGTGAGTAAGAAAGGGATGCTTCCAAGGGCCCTGAAACATCATTCTTTCCAGAAGTGTTATCTCCAGTGGCCTCCTGGAAGCTCCTCAGTGGGGGCACCCCTTTGGTGGGGTTCTTACCTGGATGGCAGGCCCGGGTGCCTCCTCTCTCTGCTACCCAGAGCTCAGCACCTTGCTCTAGCTGGGAGATAACTGCAGGTTTGGGAAGATCAGGACCTGGAAAGAGGAAAATACCCAGGAGGTCAGAGACTGCTCTGGGGCAAACAAGCCTAGACTACAGCTTTGGTTCTTGCCCATCAGGACATGTGGGCATCATCTAAGCATACGAGGGGTTTGCCTGGTGACAGAGAGGGCAGCTTCCTCCCAACATGTGTATCCTTCAGCAAATGAGGACTCCAGGTTAAGTTAGAGTCCCATACCAGAGGCCCACAAACGTAACTCAGTCTAAGAACTGGGCCTTACCCACAGAGAGAAGTTGCCTGAAGGTCTCCAGCATCACATCACGATACAGGGTCCTCTGGTAAGGGTCCAGCTGCCCCCACTCCTCTTGGGTGAAGTCCACAGCCACATCTCGGAAAGTCACTGGCTCCTGAAATATCACGTGTATTCTCGATTAGTCGGACCATCTACCTCTGCAGAAGAGGAAGGATGGGAGAAAACAGGCAGGCATGGGTCCTGAAAAAATGTACACTCTGTGTGATGTCCCTCAGGCCTCACAGAGAGCCTACAGGCCATTATAGTTAGGTATGGCTTACCATGGCAACACATGAGAGCTCTCGCCGGGCTCAATAGAGACAGCCACAGCTGACCAGACAGACCTGGCTAGACCAATGACATGCAGGTTTATGACCTAAAGAAATGGTTACTAGGTTTTTTGTTTCTTGAGTATGTTTGTGAGTGTTTGAGTGCATGCATGTGTGTCTGTGGAGGTCAGAGGGTCACTTTGGGTGGTCAGGTCTTTTACTGATGCCCAGGCCACGTCAGCAGTATCTGTTACCTGATCATCAGTTTCCACCTCCACCCCACTTTTTTCCCCCCTTTGACAGGGTTTCTCTGTGTGGCCCTGGCTGTCCTGCAACTCACTCTGTAGACCAGGCTGGCCTCGAACGCACAAAGATCTGCCTGCCTCTGCGTCCCAAGTGCATGGATTAAAGATGTGTGCCACCATGGCCAGGCTTACTCCACTTTTTTAGCTCAGTTCTCGGTCTCCTAACCCATGTCCAAGTGGCTCTTTCCAGCCCTATACCAGTTCTTCTCAACACTTTCCCTCCCCTTTCCATTTCATGTGTGTGTGGGCACACACGAGGGAGAGTATGCCTGAATATGTGCACGGCTGGAGGCCCCATGTTGATGTGAGAATCATCATTTTCTCTACCACCTTATTCACTGAGCAGGTCTCTCAATCAAATCCAGAGTTCACTGATATTGTTAGTCTCAACAGCCGTCTTACTTTGGTGATCCCCTTTGAGATCCTCTTTTGAGACTGGAATTATAGGTGGGCCACGTGTGCATCCAGTGTTTATATGGTGTCTGGGGATCTGAGCTACAGTCCTCACACTTATGCAGTAAGCACTTTGACTACTGGGCCATCTCCCCAGGACCCCTTAACATAAAAAAAGAAAAATCTTTTTTTCTCCTGAGACAGGATTTTAAGTATCCTAGGTTTGCCTCAGACAGGTTATATAGCCAAAGATGACCCTGAACTCTGATTCTCCTGTTTTACCTGCCAAGTGCTGGGATTGCAGGTGTGTACAACCCAGTTTTTTGTTTTCTTTTTCTTTCTTTTTTTTTTTAAAGTGGCACCAGGGCTTTATTTGCTAGGCAAGCACTCTTTCCTCCAGCTCCAGCTCCAGCCCTGAACACCTGAATGACTCCTGGTCACCTTCCAATAGTGGATGGCTGCTCCCCCAAGGACATCCAGGTCTCCTGAAACTGATGAGAATCAGGACAGAAACAAGTACTTTGCAGATGTGATAAAGACACCAAGACAGTAGCTGTCCTGTGCCATCCACGTGGGCCCAGATGTACTCACACGGTTAGGAGATCGGCGTGAGATTGGAGAAATCAGAAGGCAGTGTGATCACTTAAGCAAGGTGCTACATTGCTGCTTTGAACCTAGACAAAAGGCCGCAAGGCAAGGAGTGCCCGGGCTGTAGCTCTTATAGCTGGAAAAGCTAATCAACTGATATCCACCCCTAGAAACTTGGGAGAAGTGTGGTTCTGCTCGGTGGTGCTCATTTCTGACTTCTATCTCTAGACTTTACCTTTTTTAAAAAATTATTTTATTTTGAGACAGGGTCAAGTTTGGCTTTAGTTTATCATCTTCCTGCCTCAGCCTCTGATGTGGTGCTGGGATTATAAGCATGAGCCACCGTGCTTGGCTTACAATATACATTGTCTTTAGCCAAAGTGTGCAGGGACTTGTAACGGCCACAAGAAACTAACGTTCTGGACCTCAAAGGCCTCCACTTTTGGCCCTTGTTCCTGTGGAGGCTAGCCTCTAACATGGCCCCTCAGTGATATCCTGACTTGCATGCAGCCATGTTGACTTGTAGAACAGATAGGATACTGTGGAAATGACAGTGTGAAGTTCAAACTGAGGTTCTAACACAGCTTCTACCTTAACCAGCTCCCGGGTCACCGTTCCACAGGAGCCCACACACTGCGCTGTGTGACTTCAGTGCTTCCACGGCGAGGCCTACATGGAGAAACACTGAGTCCCCCTGCCAACGGCCATGCGAATGAGTCATGTTGAAGGCGGGTCTTCCGGGCCCAGTCAAGTCTCAAGGAGTAATTGTTAGGCTGTCATGGTGACTGTAACTTTAAGAGCCTAGGGCAGATCCATGAGTTCCTACCTATCAGAAACAGTGAAGCAGTATTTACTTCAGGTCACTACAGTTTGTGTGTGCTATCTGTCACAGGACACTTCTTCTAGTGTCTTTCATATTGCTTATTCCCCGACAATCCGACAGCTAATGGCTGTCACCTGAGGCTTGACTGGGGCTGGGAATCCACCTTCAGCATGGCTCATTTCTATGGCTGTTGACAGGTCTCAGTTCTCAGTTCTCCACAATGGTCACATTTCATGGAAAATGAAGATAACACAAATCTGATAATCTGCAACCTAAGGCTATCAATAAACCCATTTTGCACACCAAGTGTAAAATAATGCAAATCTCCCCATAGCACCAAAAATCCCCCCCCCCAAATACATAATTTCGAAGATGCAGAACTTACATATGAGTTGATTTTGGCTTTTGCTAAGCGGACTGTGGAGAACAGAAGAAGCAGCCAGTTGGTCTACAAAGTGCTTGAACTTTGATGACCAGAAGTTAGACAAACTGGCAAACACCGACAGCCCTGCCTACCACAGTTCTCCTACGGGCCCGCCAAGCCCCTTGGTAGTTACTCCTGTTTTACTAACTTGGTGCCTGTGCCCCACAATGTTGTGCCTTACTTACAAAATAAGGGCTTCACAGTGTGGAGATTTCCGTCTGTTGATTCTACGTTTTAGGACATGTCCTAAGGACAGTACCCGCAATGTGGGTGCTTTGTAGCGCTAGCCAGTCACCTGTCATCACCGACAAACATCTCTCTGGATGTATGGGAAGGTGTTGGCCCGAGAGGGGGTAAACCCCTGAGTGGGGTCTCTCCTGTGACCACCCTCCTCTTTCCCCGTAGCAGGGAGACAGGAGGTTGGAGCATGGGTACTGGACAGGGGGATAGGAGTTGGGGTGGGGGCTGGGTTCAGACCTGGGCTTGGCGACTGAGCTACCGCGTTTGCTTCCCCCTGTGGAAAAAGGGCCGCAGGTTACAGGCCAGTCTTTGGGGAAAGCGGGGCGGAATCCACTCCGTTATTGTTACCTTAAGTTGTGTTGCTTGCGGCCGCGAGGCCATCGCCATTGTTGCCGCTCGATCCTGCGGGTCCATCCCGAGCGAACAGGTCAGCAACAGACGTCCAAGGCGATTCCTAATCTAAAGTGCACGCCTGTCGTAGAGACCACCCGACCAGCCCTCCCGCTGGACAATGGCGGCAGTGCCAGGGACCCCGACACTACAACTCCCAGAAGGCCACGCACTGAGACGCAGCACTGGACCAATAAGAGCTACCGCCAGCCCAACGTTGACCAATGGGGAAGTCCTGTCCTCTGAAACCACCCACAGCGGTTCACTAAGGAGCAGGTCCCGGTAACTGCGGAGCCCAGCTTCCATCCCTTACCTATGGAGCGGGCATCACTCGGCCCCGGTTACCCTGAAAATTGTCCTCCTACCCTGATGACTGAGTTTAGAGCACATATACATCTGAGCAGTGAGGGGAACGTGTGACAGCAAGGTACTGCTGTCAGAGAGTTGGTCAATTTGACCTGCTGTAGGAATTAAATGCACAAGAGACCCTGGGATTTCTTCTTTTTACTCTGTGTACTCCGTTTACACTGACACTTACCTGAAACAAAACTACATGAACATTTAAGAGTTTTCTTAATGTAATAGACGTCGAAGGACTAATGACTGGAAAGGGGAAAACGAGACTTCCCAGATTTCGTTTCTTCAGGTAAGGTGAATATCAATTCAAGGTGTAATTGTTACAGCTCGGATGGAAAGATATCCTGGCAGTCAGGAGCCAAGGAATACCAGAGAGTCACGCCACACAACAAACTTGACACAGATTTATTGGGAGGGAAAAAAATCCCAGGAGGATGGCTGCCTCTGCTTAGACAGGAAAGAGCAGAGAACAGAGCAGACGCCAGGGTTTATATAGTTGTTTCTTGATTGGTGGCCTGACGGTGGAACTTTTCAGGGTGATGCTTTCCAGGGTGGGGATTGCTGGGATTTCAAGTCCAGAGCTTGGGCTTTTACTCTGTTGGGCAGAGGACTGGGTCTAGCAGTTAGGGGGGTTAGAGTGTTCTGTGGGTGGAACATGGCGGTTGGAGGTTCTCAGGAGAGGAGCCTGGCCACTCGTGTGCCTTGAGGGGCTTACGAAAGGTACATCCGTAATCCCAGAGATGGAGACAATAAAATCCAGGAGTTCTTGCTTGGCTACACAGCATGTTGAAGGCCACACTCTTAGGGATGGGGGTTTGGGAGATGAAGAACGAAATAAAGAAAACACACACACACACACTTTTTTTTTAAACTAAGAACTAGGAACAAGTAGAAAAGAAAAGGGTCAAGTGTGGTGGTGCACACTTATATTTAATAGGTAGGCAGAACTCTTGTGAGTTTGAGGCTATCCTGGTCTACATTGTGAGTTCCAGGCAACTAGGACTATATAGAGAGGCCCTATCTCAAGAAAACCAACCAGAAGAAAAGAGAAGAAAATGGGTACTTGCTAGTCCTCACCAGCTGATGTTGTAGCAGGAAAAGACAGAAAATAAACTACACCCTTAAAGAGACAGAGAACACCAGGTATGGAACGGCAGGCTCTGCCCCTCCTCCACCGCTCCCCCCCACCCCCAGTACTGAATATTGAACCTAGGTCTTCGTGCATGAGAGGCAAGTGATCGATTTGCGGTCTAAGCAAACTGCATGTCCTGAATGACATCCTTTAAATACCATCCTCCCGTCTCTATCTCTCTGTCCCCAGCCCAGTTCTTTCCTTTGTTCTCTGTAGTCTCCACAGAAGTAAGTGGGCAATGACAATAGTTTTACAACTGGTGCTCAGGGTCTGGACTGGGTATTTCTTGGTTCTTGACCCATTTGAAATAAGGGTTTACAGAACCCAAAGAAGTAAGATAATTTTATTTGGAACAAGGTGATACTATAGGTTTGTAGGATACACTATTCGAGATTGACAGTGGGTCATATGAGTGAAGAGTCTCAGCATCCAGATTATTGTTCAAAGTTTCCTTTTATGGGGCTCAAGAGAAGGGGTGCTGGTTACTAGGGATGTATTTTGGGTGATTAATCTTTTCATTTTTCTACTGTGCATGTCCCTTCTATGATGCATCTGATTTTAATCATATGTGTGTCCAATTATGTATAGGCATAAGGTGGCAAATAGGAGGTTCTCCCTAAATGTTTACAGTTTTGCCTTCTTGTGCAGCATCCAAAGCTAGCTCAGGTCAGATTGACTCTTCTATTCTTCATACACAGGTATGTTGAGAATATTCTTGAACTTTGAACAGCATCAAGGGCAGGGAAATTTATACCATTGTTCAGAGATGGAAGTGTGTGTATCCTGATGTAGACAGAGGGGGGTTTGAGGTTGCTAGGTGCATTGTTCAGAGATGTTTGTGTGTGTGTGTGTGTGTGTGTGTGTGTGTGTGTGCGAATAGTATGAGCACTTGAAAGACCTAGGCTGCTAAGTGCATTATTACAAGAGGAGTGTGTGTGCAAATCCCAAATCAAATGGGGGCCTCAGGGCACTAAACTGTCTCCCATGCTTGCCTGCCTTAGTATCAGGCAAGGTGCTAGTTTGAATGAGAAGTTTCCCCATGGTTTCAGACATCCGAACATTTGGTCTCCAGTTGGTAGTGCTCTTTGGGGTGCAGCCTTGCTGGGGGAAGTATTAGACTAAGGGCTGTGGGGTTCTTCGCAACCACCACAGCCAGCATAGTTTCTGAGTAAGCATGACTAACTAGCCGGTGTTGTTTCAAACCTCAGGAGTCTACCCCCACATAACTGATCTTAGGCATATTTGAGCACAGCTCGATTTGGTGATACTCTCCTGGTAATAACCCTGACCAGGCGGCTTGAGCTTGATGGAGCTGAAGAGAGTAGAGCTGCCATGGTGCCGGTAAAATATGTTGATTTTTCTAATCGGGTAATAGCCACTCAAGGTTTTGGCAGTGCCTTTTATACTGCAGCCGCCATTCAAATAATTTTTCAAAAAGGACCTTTTTTTTTGAAAGCAGAAATAAAGGATATTGGGAAAATGTGTGCAAAAAAATCTAGTCATCCTGTTCCTCACCTTTGCCCATGATGTAAAAACGGAAAACATTGAGTTAAGGAATGTTGATCCAAACTTGACAAGGATAGTAAGCCTTTAAGCTCATCAAGGGGGTAACACCTAGCCTTAGACTCAAGGAAGATGGGAGACTGACTCAGGCAACAACAACAAAAAAAAAGAACCAGGCTCAAAATCAGTATCTAGGCATTTGGGGGAGCAACAGGGTCTAATGCAATGGGATTAAACTTATTAGCTTTACAGACAAGACCATTCTCAGGTGATGGGCATCCTAAGTCAAGTGTACGCATTGAAAAATAGTCCTTAGAGCAGTGGTTCTCCATCTGTGGGTCAAATATAAGATATTTACATTATGACTCATTTTAGTAGCAAAGTTATGAAATAGAAATGAATTAATTTTATAGTTGGGAGTCACTACAATGAGAAACTGTATTAAAAGGGTTGCAGCATTAGGAAGGTTGATAACCACTGCTTTAGAGTCATTCTAGACACTGGGGCCAGTCATTCATTTATTTGTCAAAAACAATGGCCCCACACTGGTCAGTGTCTAATGGCCCTCCTTTACAAGGTATTGGAAGCCAACTGGATTCTTTAAAAAGTTCTGATGTTGCCGGGCGGTGGTGGCGCACACTTGTAATCCCAGCACTGGGGAGGCAGAGGCAGGCGGATCTCTGTGAGCTCGAGACCAGCCTGGTCTACAAAGGGAGTTCCAGGACAGGCTCCAAAGCTACAGAGAAACCCTGTCTTGAAAAACCAAAAAAGAAAAAAGAAAAAAAAAGTACTGATGTCTTAATTTTGGACTCACAAAGATTCTTCTGGCACTGATAAGCCTTACATTGTCTCAGGACTTTTATAAAATTTGTGGGGAAGAAATGTATTACAACAAAGGCAAGCTGTAATTACCACTGCTACTAATGAATATCCTGATAATTATAATACAAGAAAATATGACCTTCTAACTGGCGTCATTGACCAAGGGTCATCCAAACAGCCTTATAACTGCAATGGATCTCTGATGGCCTAGTATGGATTGATCACTGGCTCTGTCATGACAAAAAAGTAAAACAGGCTCAACTTCAAGAAAAGGAATAATTGCAACTAGGACATAAAGACCCTTCAGTTAGTCTTGGAACTCGACTATTTTTATAATTCATAAAAGGGCAAAGAGTAACTTTTTTTTCAAGACAGGGTTTCTCCGTGGAGCCCTGTACGTCCTGGAAATCAATCTGTAGACTAAGCTGGCCTTGAACTCAGAGATCAGCCTGCCTCTGCCTCCTGGAGTGCTGGGATTAAAGGTGTGAGCTACCACTGTATGGTTCAAAGAAGAAATTTTGAATGTTACATGATCTCAGGGGCATTCATATGACTATGAAAACAATGGTGGCCCTTCAGCCAGGGCAGCCTGTTCCTACTATGATTCCTCAAGAACATTACGTTACTATGGTTGGCTTAAAAGACTGCTTTTCCTCTATTCCTTTACATCCTGATGATAAGGAATATTTTGTATTCTCTGTTCCCACTTTAAACAATCAACAGCCATTGACCTAATATCAGTGGAAAATTTTATCATAAGGGATGAAATTTAGTCCCACTGTATGTTAATATTATGTACACAAAGCACTTAAAATGGTGCTGATTCAATTTCCTGAATTATTGGTCACTCATTATATGGATGTCATTCTCTTCTCTCACTCATTTAATCAATACTTAAATAAGTGCTTGATTTTCATGGTATTAAATAAACTAAAAGAGTAAAATTTAAACATAGCTCCAGATAAAATACAAAAACAATCACCTTATAATTATTCAAACAACAACAAATTTGCCCTCATCCTCTCATCTTAAAACTTCCCAAACGCCAGGCAATTGTGACTCACATTTTGATCCCAGCACTCGGGAGGCAGAGGCAGGTGGATGTCTGTGAGTTCGAGGTCAGTCTGGTCTACAGAGCGAGTTCCAGGATAGAATCCAAAGCTACACAGAGAAACTCTGTCTCAAAACATAAACAACACACCAAAAAAACAAAACAAAACAAAACAAAAACACAACAACAAAAACTTCGCAAACAATGTGCTCTTGATTACTTAGGAGAAACTTTGGGCCATGTTAATTGGGGGACATTCTTCTTTGCCCTAAT